GCCTAACATAAGCAAATCACAACCTGTGCTTTTGTAAATAAAGTTCTACTGGAACACAAGCACGGCCATTTAACTTCGCACTTCACCTGAGCGCCCTCAGGCTTTAGTGGTAGAGTTTTGCCAGTCTGAGTCATTGACTGTGTGGCCCACGGAGCCTTAATTATTTTTGCTCTCATTAATGTCTCTTTAGAAAATCAGCGGGCTGACCTCAGGTCTAGTGGGTAGTTGACCTCTCCTTCTCCACCACAGCAATCCACTTTTTTAAAATAAGCTGATTTGGACAAAGGTTTTTTTGCTTGAAAGGAAGAAATTCACTTAAATCAACTCAAGGAGAAAGGGCAGTGGTGATAAAATATTTCCCCATAGAATCCACAGACAGGAAATTAAATACAGGCTTTGCTCCTAAAGTACAAGTCTGAACCACAACTCAATTCTGTTAAAGAACAAAGTCTGCATTAATAAGGTCTCCATTAATTATAAGAAGATCTTGAGCAGGAACGACTATGCTTGGGAGCTAGTACCATGTAAGAAAATACTGTGGCAAGAACAACGCAAACATTTCACTTGGATGACAGGAAAAGAAACAAAAACACTTTTAAGCTAAAACAGAAGTCACCAAATGCTAGATTTGCTCTGTGATGTTTAGATTTTACTCTTTAGCTACTGTCAAAGGACAAAATTATACCAATTTAGCCTAATGGTCTTAATTAGCTTTAATTTTCTATTCTAGAATCAGGCAACACTTCATTCCATGAAATAAAATAAGCATTCTGATGCACTGGGCAGAAGAGATTGGTTTTAGAGACAGAGAAGAGTTGAAGAGAGAAAAAAAATAAAAGAATTAAAAGCAGATTGGTAATTTCAAAATTACTGTCCCTCTAAAGTGAGAAAAATAGGAAACTACCTACCTGGTTCACATCCGCTTATTTTAGGTTGGCTGTTTTCAGGTAAAGATTAAGGCACAGGGGACCCTGTTAACATGGCAACTACAACAAGTTCCTGGTAGGCTTGGTGGCACCGAAGGCTGAGGCAGGAAGAAGGGAAGTTCCTGGCTATCCTGGGCAACTTAGTGAGACTCAAAAGAAACAACTTAGTGACACTGTCTAAATAAATAATAGGGACTGGAGATGTATTTTAGTGACAAAGCAACCCTGGCTCACTGCCCCATGCTAAAAAAGAAAAAGAAACTGTTCTGTTGTAGAAATTTGGCTGTTGATGCTCTTATCCTGATTTCTCTGATTCAACTTGACAAACTGGAACTTTAGCAAGAGTGACTCCATTCTGAGTTTTAGTTTGGTCTATTCAGGCTGATGCAGGAATTGAATCCAACACATTGGTGTCCTATTTAATACTATAAAAAGCAACCTCACTGCAAGAAAAACAATTTTTATAGGACTCTGAAATTCTGCACTTTACATTCCCTTCTCATCGTCGAAGTAGTGTACTTTCCCCAAATGTACAATTTCTAAGGAATGCAGAATTGATCATGTAGTCAGACTGCAAGAGACTGGTCAGATGGCAGCAGGACGACCTCAGGCTGTTCTCTATGACTTCACAGACCTGTAGGTTCCTTCACTGGGCTTTGGTCTCTGCTCTTCTCTCCTACCTCGCTTCCTCTGTGTAAGTTTTCTGGACTGTCAGCATTTAGTAGGCATGTCTCCAGAGCCTGCCATCACCAGGGTAACAGTTGGGGCTTGGAGGGTTATAGTGTCCCTTACTACAAATTGTTCATCTGACCAGTTTAACTCAATTTATAGCTTGATACTTTTAGTAGAGCTAAAATGCTTAATCCTAATAGTGCCCCCAAGCCAAAAGACACATTCTTCAGGTTCTCTTGCATCTTAATATAACCCTGGGGTTAAACCCTATGCAATGATACATAAAACAAAAATGTATGGGAGTCTTCTGGGCCCCTTTCTTAGGGTGGAGGGCATAATGGTGTAATGGCTGGAGCTGCTGCAACCATCTTGGACCATGAGCACAATGGCCACACCCCTGACGTAACAATATGAGCAACCTGTATCACCGATGACCATGGGTGACCAGTTCTACGTTTCCCAGGAAAAGGGTCTTGGGCAGAGGAAGGAGACCAGTGGGCACATGCACCACCATGGCTCTGTTCCATTGCTAGACCAGCTGGTGTATGCAAGAAAATGTTACAATCTGTGGAAAGTTTGAGGGTGGGCTGACAATGCTCATGTGCCAGGGTAAAAATTCTAATTCCCAAGCAAAAGGCTCTGGGAGTTGGGTTGTAGGCCAGGTTGGCAGGTCTCCTGAGCAGATGGAAGTCAACTGTTCTGCTAATAATTGAAGAAATATTAGTTATATTTTTAAGGGATCTGGTTAACTCATTTCCTTAGGCTACTTAGGGCTATGATTCTTAGGCAGCAAAGTCAGTTAGGATAATAAAGCCCCCAGGCCTGCTGGCAAACCGCTGAGACTCTTCAAGAAGAAAGGCACCCAACTAAATGATGTCCTGAGGAAACGGGCTTCAAATGTGTCTCCATCCTTCACCCCCTTGAGAATAAAGATGAGAGGAAGGAGGGGGACTACTGCAAGGGTTCCTCCAGCCATTTCAAATATTTGACAGGTTTGGAGTCCTGGAGCATGTTTCCAAGAACTACAACTCCCGGAAGGCATAGGTCCCACCATTCTTTAATGGAGAAAAATTAGTTCAAATATTGACTGATTTGAGAGCTCCTAGTCTATAAAAGGAAGAATATGTGTCATTTTTAAAACATACTTGTGTTCTACACAACCACAGCTGAGCAGATTATGGCCCTTCTGTTCAATCTTTTTACTTCCAAAGCAGTAGAACTTCAGAAGTCCGGACATGGCCTGTAGCTGATCTGCAGAGGAAGCACTGTGCTGCTGATGCTGCTTGCTTCTCGGTCTCACACACGCAGTCCGCACGCATGGAATACAGAAGCCACGCGCTGGACAGCAGGGATAGAAGAAGGAAATCAGCTCTCCTGGATGTTCAGAAAAGAACACGAATGTTCTGAAACTGAATATAAGACAGCACTAAGAAAGTAGTCCCTTACCAAGCAGTCACTTGGACCCCAGGGAAGACTTCCACTTCCAGAAATGGAGGCCCTTTGTGGAAATTTAGGAAGACCACTTGTGGTGGTTAATTTCTTGTCAACTTGCCTGGGCTAAGCTGCCCAAACAGCAGTTAATGTGCCCTTTCTGGGTGTGTCTGTGGTGTCAGGTTGGAAGGGATAATCATCTGAGGCAGTAGGCTGAGTAGAGAAGGCTGTTCCTGCCTGTGGGGATGGGCACCAGCCTATCTGTGAGGGCCAGAGGGAACAAAACATTGGAGGATGGATTTCCTCTGTGTTTGAGCTGGGACACCTGTTTCACTCTGCCCCCAGAAATGGGCATTCAGGGCTTTCACACATCACACTTTCTCCCTGGACTCACCTGGTTCTTGGGCTTCAGGCTGGATCCATGCCTCCTGCCCTCCTGGGTCTCATCCTGCAGACAGCAGAAAGTGGCACATCCCAGCCTCCATAATCATGCAAGCTCTCAGTAGGTCTCACTCAGTATGTCTATGTGTGAACTATTGGTTTTGTTTCTCCGGAAAAATCCACCAGACAGATGAGAGAAGCAAAGTCCATTTCTTGAGAGCCTGCTGAAGAGTGCGCTACAACCACGTGCACTCAACAGTGACACAAAGACAGGGACAGCTTTGAAACAGAAAGATGAAAGGCTTTGGATGGGGGACTTTTAGTATCTGGAGCCAAGAGGAGGATTACCTAGAAGGAGGGTGTCCTGGTAAGCAGGGCATACTTTGCTTTCTGTAGCTAGTGCTAAATTAGAAGGGGGTAGGGGGTGAGAGACAGCTTGAGGAATGCTACTGGTTGTTGTTTACATCCTAGCTACTGTGTGCCAATTCTTTAGCCTTCTGGATTGTTGCTAGAGATAGCAATCCAGCTTCCTGCGTGTCTGGAGCCCAGCAGGCCAGCTTCTTCAAGTGTGTATTAGAATGGGGGAGCTGGTTTCCAGGTCAGATGCTGCAGGTTGTGGGCCAGAGCCACGGCCCTGGTCCATAAGCACATTCGGTCTCATGTTCAGACAGAAGCACAGTCGTCTCTGAGCAGCTGACTGATAGCCAGTGTGCTGATTCCCAGGGTTGCTGGAGAGCTGCTTGGGGGCAGCTGATTCCCCTAGGCCGCCTAGCCCAGACTGCCTAAAGATGCAGATGCTCCTGTAAGCACATCCTCAGCTTTGCACCAGGGAGGCAAAGAAGGGCAGGAAGCGCAGTGGTTAGGGTAGGGGCGGAGCTCTAGAATAGACAGAAACCCTTCTGTGACAATCAAACCAGCCATTGGACTTCTCTGTCGGTTTTGAGCAAACTTTGAGTTGCCACTCCCTCCTCCTCCAAAGATTCTGACTTACTTCAGCAGGGCTGGAGGTCAGCCGCGCTTCCTAGGTGCTCCTGAGATGTTGCCCAGATTGGCAGCTAAAAACCAAAACACAGGAGCAGATGTTCATCAATCAGTGCCCTTGCGCTTGCCAGGGAGGCGCTTATTCCACGGAGCCATCTCCCCGGCCCCAGTCAGTGCGAGTGGAACTGGGGCTGTGGCCTCGGCGGCGTCCTGCACCTCTCAGTCCTGTGACACTGCCGGTGGGAGCCTGAAGAGCAGGAGCCAGACCCAAGCTGCAGACCGTCAGAGGCCAGAGTGCGCCAGCATGTGCAGCTCGAGATCGCAACGTCCACGCCACGACGTGCGAGCATGCGCGCGCCTGAAACCTCTGTGCCATTTCTGAGACCGAACCTCGTCAGCGCAGCAGCCCTTGCTTTTATCTTTATACATTGAAACACTTATCTCCTCCTTTAAAATATATACCACTCGCCTAGTATGTGTGATGAGTTCATGTATTTTCAGTCTGTTGACATGATTCTCACATGCTTTAAATAGAATAATTGAAATTTGACCATATAAACTCTAAACCCTGAAAGAGAGAGAGAAAAACAAAAATCACTCGTACTCTCTACACAGTATCTATTTTTTTATTTTTAGTCGAACTAAATTTTCCAATGTACCAGGTTAATCTGAGTTGATACAATACCGTCCCCTGGTGGACAGCTATAGAAAGGATCCTGTGCTTGATTTAACTTGAGAATTTTAATAGGTCATCTAACATACTGGTGCCTCCGCATCCCCAGCAGAATGCTCTCTACGAATAAAATCGCAGCAGAAACCCAAAAAATAAAATAATAGAAACAGAGGTGTGCCAGGAGCTTTGTTTTTCTTCCATTTTTGCTGTCGGTTTTTATATCCTCCCCAGGGTAGGCAAAATAGAATTTTTTTACCACCAAACATGTCATCTCCTCCAAATTAAAATTATCATTTCTTCTTAAGCTTTTTTACTATGGTGAATAGCATCTCTTTTATCATCCACCCAAGGAAAATCCCACCTGAGAGTTCACGACACATAAACAAGTTCAAAGGCTCTGTGAAAACCTGAATAGAGAAATGGGGTTCAATTGATTTAAGCCTGCAGTTCCCAGACTCATTTTATCATGAGACACATTGCCCTCCTGCCTAATACTGTTTAATAACCTCCAGGATATTTTTGGTTATACATCATTTGGAATGGTTGCTCCACCTCAATCAGAAAATTGACTCTTTGGCTGCTCGTACTATTCAATCTTCAAAAGTGCTTAGGCAAAGTCAGCCGCACCGTGAGTCAGCTCGCAGTCTCTTGTAGGAATGAAATATACAACCCAGAGAGGGTGGACCCCAGGCAGCTGCTGAATTAATGCCACATCCACAGGCCACATCGTCTCTGTCTTCTGCCTTCCTTGCTGGCTGTGGGGCTCTGCACAGCCGCTGCACTAACAATAGCCGTGATCTAGCTGTATCTACAATTAAGTGCACCAAGCCTGCACTGAATGAGCACTATTGATTTTTTAGAGGGATGATGATGCTCATCTGGCTATAACTGAAAAGGGTCATTCACAGCTCTGCAACTAATATGATTTAGGTTTTTTCCGAGTTGTGTCCTCTCGTGAATTTATGAGCCAAAAGCATCAAAACTTTACAGCATTCAGCATTCATGCAAATCATCATAGAGCCTCAGACACTAGATCCAAAACAAATCTTACTCTGTATCACCAGCATTTTTAACAAGCATACTGCTTCACGCCCTATGCTCATAATGCTAGGCTTCCTAAGCCTGCAGATACACATTGCATCATTTCTTTTTCCAAAAATAAGGAATATCTAATTAAATTTTCATGGCATAGAAAAATTATTTGAATCTGTTTTGAAGCTTAAATTGTGCTTTGATCAATCATGTCTGAGGCTGTTAGCTGTCCTTTCATGGCATCTATAGCTTTGATGTTAGAGCCGGGGTCCTGAGGGCTCGGGCGCATTCGTTCACCAGCCTGGCAGCCTCCAGAGCACAGCCCCAGTGCACTGAGACACCGCCGCTCCCGTGGCCGTAATGGTGGACCACACACAGCCTCCGCCCATCTCTGGCCAGGGCCTCTTTCTGCAGGAGTATGTTTGATCTGCCAGGCCGCAAGCCCACCCTCTCCTTCATGCTGCAGGCCCTGCGCAAGGATGGCTCCAGAGCACAACATCTGGAGAAAATATCCCTGCTGATTTCTGCATCTGGGGCCAGATTCCAGTCTCCTTTTTGCCTAGTTCCACCCAAGGTGACATAGGATGCCCCAGGGTAAATATACGTCAGCCCAGTCCCATCTCGGATAAAATGCTTCACCCAGGGGGCCTGCACTTGGAGTATTTGGCCCCTCACAGGGAAAACCATTGAGTCTCCCACAAGCTCTCGACTTCCCAAGCCTGAACAGTTGACCACGATGTCGAAGGAGGGTTGGAGCTCCCACAGGTCTTCTACTCGCCGGCGGAGGAACAGGCCTCCATGCATCTTCAGCCTGGGGAGGAGAGACAGCGAGGTGAGACTTAATAGCCACCTGCCCAGCCACTCCCAGGAAGTGAAGGACAGGAATACAGGAACCGAAGTGAGGGGATGAACAGGCACCCCAGGAGCTTCAAAGGCCCAGGTAGATCAAATTCCAGCCAGCAATTGCCTCACATCCTTAGAAACCAAGGATTCTGAAAGTTGACCCCCAATGGAACTTACAGTATTTTGAAAAACAAAAACAAAGGACATTGTATGCTGCCCCCCTAAACATCTTTTAGTATACAGTTCTGTGATCCTAAGCACATCGTGCTGCGGTGCAGCCATCACCCCCATCTACCTCCAGTATGTTTTTCAGCATGCAGAGTAGAAACTCCAGAGCTATGAAGCAATAACCACCAGGGACCTTGGCGTCTTCACCTTGTATTCCTACAGCTGTACTCACAAGTCACTTGCAATGTATCAGCTGTTCTGCTCAACAGATACAGGGTGGAAGCCTAGGCATGAGGTGCTGCTAAGAGAGACAAAATCTGTGCGACATCACACCATTCCATAGGTATGACAAAGACAGTGTGGATAATGTGAGTGGCTGCTGAGGTGAAGTACACTCTAAACAGTGTGTGTGTGTGTGTGTGTGTGTGTGTGTGTGTGTGCGCTCTACCCCACCCCCCAACAGTAGAGGGCAGGGCAGCAGGGCAGCAGGGCAGCAGTTTTGAGCACCACCTGCCTTCAACACCAGATAAACAGAGGTTTCATGAGAAGGAAAAATGGACAGAAACTTCAGGGGTAAAACCACCACGACACCGCTGAAGAAGTGTAAACGACAGCCTGGTTTGCTCACTGATTTTAACTCAGAGGCTGCCTCTTACTTCATGGTGATCTGAGCCTGCTCTGTACATAGGCAGAATGAATGGGTATTTCAAGTAGCAATGCCCCCCCCCCCATAATAGAGCTGAAGTTCTAGGTGTGGGCCTTTTGCCCTACACATCCTCGCTTGTTATTCTGAAAATCTGTGGAAGACTGCACGAATTTACCAGAGACAAGAAAGCCAAAGCAACGCATCTGCAAACACCAATACTTTAAGATCACAGAGAACAAAGGAGGCCTTCAATATAACTAACTGTGGTTAAAAAAGAGAGTAGGCCAGGGCAATGTAGCAAATTTCATGTGTGCAAGTTTTCAGCTCTCTCAGTGAAACAAACAATTGACAGTTTAGATTATGTTTTTTAGATGTACAATAATAGATAAGCTCTTTTAAAGACATAATAACACTGAAAATTGTTTCATTTTTATTTTCTTAATATTGGCATAGAAAGAAGAGTAAATTAGAAGCCGAGCGTGGTGACACACGTCTGTAAACTCAGCACTCTGGAGACCAAGGCAAAAGGAGGGTGAGTTTCAGGATAGCCTGGCTTACATAGTAACCTACAGAGACCCTCCTCTCAAAACAACCAATAGAAGAAAAAGAAGAGGAGGAAGAAGAGGAGAAGGAAAAAGAATGAACTGGGTTGTTTTTTTTTTTTGTTTTTGATTTTTAGGGAACAGGGGATTGAACTCAGGCCCTTGCGCTTTCCAGGGAAGCGCTTATTCCACTGAGCCATCTCCCCAGCCCCAACTCCTTCACTTCTAATGTGGGAAGATTATTACTGGCTTTATAGGTATAACAGAAAATGCCCCCCTCCAACCAGTATATTTCAGTTTCTTAGTTGCCTGGGTGATAGCTCCTGTTCTTGTTCCAGTTTCTTCTGTCTCTTAGAAACTGCTGGCCACTGTGATGCACAGCTGGTCACTTTGACGCACATTGTATAAAGCGATCTGCCGCTAGCAAGCCATCCTGCCTTTGAGATCACAGCCTAATATTTTGGGAATGATCCTGATCAGTGCTGCTCAACGTAAATAAATCTGCCTCCAAACCTGGGTATTGTTTCAGCGTTTCTGCTGGCTGTAGCATCTGGTGCATTGGCCAGCGAGACCAACTGTGGTCCCCTCCAGGTCCCAATGGGAAGGAGCACTCTCAAGATTCCTCAAGTAGGGGGCCTGCCCCTTAGCTCAGTTCTTTAAGTGGCTGCTTCAACGAAGCAGTCAGGCTCAGGTTGCTGTGGTTCGATCCTCACAACTCAAGCCAGCCAAACCTGCCCTGAAGGCATTCGGAACAAAAAAAAAAAAAAAAATGATTCCTCAAGTCCCCTTGGAGATTTGGAGTAGGACTCCTGGCTCCCTGCTCGAGGGGCTCACATTGAATCTGAAAGGGAGGAAGACATACTCTGTCTGTCTGCTTCTGATTAAACCCTTGGGGGCATTCCAGTTAGTCTGTCAGTCCTGCCCAGTTCAAGCAGAAAGAGAGCTTTATCAGCTCTCATTTGTTAAGGCCACCCTCAAGGGAAGGGGGGTTGGAATGTTCAGCATCTGATGGCCTGCTGAATGAGTGAGTGGACTGGATAACATAAACAACAGGCCGCTCCAACAATAGTGCACTAAGACTGCAAAGCCCTGGTCATGGTGGCTAAGTGGGCTCTCACCTGTGGGTCTGTGGTGATCGACATATGGCATAATGGAGGCCGTGAACCTTCCTTAGCCAAGTCCCACCAAACCCCCTCAAAGGCCATGACCAGGAGGGCATCTGAATGGTCTTGCTCTGAGGGGCACCCACTCTTTGTCTGTGGTGCCACTGTTCAAGGGTGCACATCATTCACCATAGGGAGATACAATGGGAACTAATTAACTAAAACCCGCAGCTCCTGACTGCAGGAAAAGTGGCTTTTATGGGTTTAAAAATGAAACCAAACTGGCTCCTGCAACTCAAAGGAAAAAGAGGCCATTATTCCTGAGAATTTCACCTTGGAACTCTCATCAGCCATTGCGCCTGCTGCGAACACCTACAGCTTCATTCCCCACTCTTGACTCACATGTGTCCAGCCAACTGAACTGGTTCCAGTTAGCCATTGCCTGCGTTCTACCACAGAGGCTGTGCTCCAGAGCCTTCTGCTTCCATGGCTACCCCAGAAGACGCCATCATCTAGTGCCCTTCTGAGGTGACTGGCGACAATTCTTCCTGAGTTTCACATTTTGCATGAGAAAAAAAAAAACGGACTGTCAGCCCTGACAAATGAGTTGCACCCTTTTGGGCTTCAACAGATAAGACAGATGAGCTTTATCAAGAGCCCACAGTCATTGCAAAACTGAGGGACAAACATGTGACTTTCCTGGTGGGCAATGGAACAGAACTTTCTGTCTTGAAAAATTCCCGCTATCAAAGGTTACCATCATTGGGGTAATTGCAACTCTTGCTGTTGCCCTTTCTGCCAGACACAAATGTCAGCCTGGCAGGACATTGCCTTCACACCAAGCCTGTCAACCTCCCTCTTGTTTATCCTGCACTTTCAATGTTGACTGTTCTCTTAGAAGAAGATGATGCCTACATCGGTCTCTTCCCAGAGGCATTAACTAAGGGCTCACCTCAGGGCTTGGCCATCAACCATGTCACCTCACCCCCAATGCTGTCAGTTGTCTTGGGAAGCCCAAAGAGTCATCCAGCCACGCATCAGCCTGACAGGCTGGTGATCACCTTGCGCAAGTTCTCTGTGCCATCACAATGCACCCCTTGCCCTGCACGCTGTAGTTCCCAACCCATACACCCTTTTGGGACAGTTGTAGATTTAAAAGATGCCTTCCCCTGCTTGTGAGTTGCTCCCATCAGCCCCTTCTACTGAGAAAATGTCGCTTGGATTCAGTTGCCATATGGAGTTAAGAACTCTCTCATTTGTGGGGAGGCCTTAGCTGTCACAGTCCCTTGAGAAAAGAAACAATTAGGTTTCAAAACCGCAAAATGTTTATAGATTGTCCAACTGCTGAAATACACCTCTTCTGCCTATAAAGCCAGTTCAAGATCTTCGAGCTGCCAGTGCTGCTGTAATTGCCCTCCATGTACATTGCTTCAGTCTTCTGCCTGTGGTACACCTGTTTGAATCTAAAGAATGCCTTCTTCTGCTTTTGATTATCTCTAGCCCCTCTTTATCTTTGAATGGAAAGACCCCAGTTGTGGACTCAAAAGCCAACTGACCTGGACTCAACCTCTCAGAGGTTAAAAAACTTTATTTTTTAAACACTTCTGATTAGTGACACAAAAGCCCTGCTACAATATCTGGCAGAAACTGGTTACAAGAAAAACACTGGTTTTGCAAATTTCTTGGAGCTGCTGGTTTCTTGTGTTCACAGAAACAATAATGCTCACACACACTCTCAGTCCCTTGGAACACCCAGTGGCCCACCTGTGCAAACACTTGGACTCAGTCCCTCAGGGCTGCCTCCCCCTTGGCCTCCACGCTCTAACAGCCACTGGCCTTCTGATCAAGAAAGCTGACAAGATCCAAGTGGCCAGATGCCACATGCTGTGCTGGCATGAACTAAAAAATGGACCCCCTGACAGATACTGAGCATTTTCTCCGCTTACAGATGGAAGCAGCTCTGCTGGGAATGAAGTCCAACTAGCTGGATATGCTACGGTCACCTTGGACAAAGCTGCTTCGACCAAAAGTCTCCTGCAGAGACGATCTGCACAGCAAACTGCTCCCTGCTGCTGTTTGGAAACCTGACACTGGCAAAATAATCTGGTCCAGAGGCCTAAGCTCCCTCCGGGGATCTAATTGATCCAACTGACATCAATCCAGCCAGAAAAACTTTACCCAGTATTTCTAGAAGATGAGAGGGAGACCTGCCCCCACTGTTTGTTCTGCAAGGCAAGCTGCAGCACTGGCACTCAGACCCCTGAGGCAGCTCAGGCTTCAGCATCTGTGTCACAAGTGTCAAAAAGCCAGCCTTACATCTAGCTTCCCTAGACCTCTCATCTGAGCTCATTTTAAAGAGACTACACATTCAAAGCCCTGCTCTGGTTACTGCGGACACTGACCAGTCCACACACAGAGAAGTGTGAAGGCATTGTTCTCTAGATTGCTCCATGTCTATTCCCTTTGACTTTTGTGGTTTTCTTTTCAGTCTGCTTTCCCTCGTCCTTGCTGGCCTATTCCCCCTGCTCATTGTAGTTTTGTTAATTGACCTGGATTCTGTTTACCTAAGTCCTTGCTTCCGTGCCCCCTGCCAGCTGTGGGTTTTTGTTTTGTTTTGTTTTTCTTTTTCTTTTTGTTTTGCCTTAAATTCTATGAACAGTTTCTCCAAGAAAGTAGAACAATCAATCAAACACTTGAGCAAGATTTGATGAGCACCTAAGACACAGGGGACACTCTCCTAGATCAGATGAACTTCCTCACTACTTTTCCAGAGTAATGTTACAAAATAGGCCTAAAATATGTCTCTTCCTAAAAGCAATTTAGGGGAAAAGCTCTATAATAAGACAATCTTGGGGACCAAGGCTAAAGCCCATCCTGGGATCACTGACAACCCTCATGTGACCGCTTCTCATTGGACCTTGTCTCAAAAGATTTTATGTAATAGGCCCAGCAAGGATTTACCAGGGAAACTAACAGGGAAAATGTAGCAGAAAGCAGCCCCCACAGCCAATAGACTTCAGTTTTCTTGCGGCCCAGGTAAAGGTTCCTGTTCCAGTTCCTGTTGCTTCTGACTCTTAGAAATGGCCAGTCACTGTGAGGAATAGATCTGGTAGCCATGAAGGTACAATCTGATTTCTGGGGACCTCATTGGATGTGGTCTGTGACGTGTGAGCAGCTTCACCAGACCAGGTGCTTTGGGTGTGGCTCTGTGACCCTGCCAGGATAAAGGAGCCACAGCACTGTATCCACACCTCCCGAGGTCCCAGGTCCCCTTGGTATCTCCTCTCAGGAGTGAGGGCTCGAGGCCTAAGGCACTGATTCTGAGAGGACTGAGAAGCCTGAGCGCCACCTGGGCAGCCTGGGAGCTGAGGATTTGGAGCTGGGGGTGGGGTGGGCATTTCTCCCCGCTGTCCAGCAACGCCAGTCAGCTCTGAGCCCAAGGTGGGACCATGATCTTAAAGCTAGTTGGAATGGGAAAAATAGAGCAAGTGTTTGAGTCACTCTAGGAAGACAACTTGGGGAAGGCCAGGCTGCAAGATGCTGTGTGGAAGGACTTTATTAGACAGAGCACATTTGCGATGCCTTATGTAAGCACAGCGAAGCAGAGCCCATTTTTAAAATTACTCCTTGCTTTTAGTCTAAAGAATGATGCCTTAGTAACAGTGACCAGAAACTTATAGTCTGCTTGTCCAAAAACAAGAAAGAAAATTGTATCTCAGTTAGCAAGCAGTACTACCTATGGACACAGATTTACGGGGGAAAAACTTACTGCTTAAGGCAATTAAATGAATAGAGTCTAATTTTAACCTGGAAATATCATCTCACTGACAGTGATAGTCCTTACTTATTCCCTTGCAATGAAATAAACTGAGGTGAACAGTGGTATATGCCTGTAATCCTGGTTACTAGGGAGGCTAAAGCAGGAGGTTTGTGAGTTCTAGGCCAGCCTATGAAACTTAACAGGGCTGTATATCTCCCCCCCAAAAAAAAATTATAAAAGGACTGAGGGTAGAGCGCTATGGTAGAGCACTTTGTTAACATTCATGAGCTCCTGAATTCAATTCCTAATACTATAATAAAAATAATAACAATAGCCAATCACATTTTACTTCTTTTTTTTTAAATTTTATTTATTT